AAAAAACAAATTTCATTTACCCATAGCGAAATAGAAAAAAGAAACAAAAAACTATGTTTTTATTCCCTTCAGAAATCTTGTAGAATAACATCATAATATAACATGTCATTTTTTCAAAACATGGAATAGCAACTTAATGAGAAATGTTTATGGATATTTTGTTTTCCAACTCCACTTCTAGTCGCTTTATAGTATTATTTTTATTTATCACCATACCAGTGATCACGTGACATGCGTCAAAATCGATTTTCAAGTTATCGGATATGCATAATGGATCGCCGAGAGAAAAAAATTCAATGCTGTGATAATAAACCTGTTCTCATATGTTATGGACTTTCTGGATGATACTTGATACTGTATATATCTGTTAGTGGAAATCTCTGTCATGCTTGAAATAACAAAGTCTTGCCAAAATACGATCGATTTTTTCCAGTTTGAACTAGTTAAAATCAAAGGTAATAGTGCAATTTGTCTCATTTTTAAAAATTTGAATAAATTCATGACTTTTTCGAAAAAAGTCAATGGAATTAATTCACGAATTAAATCACTGATTCAATTCATATGAATTCATTTATGCCAACCCTGTTTATAATTGAGATACAGGACGTTATCTTGATTTTGGCAACGTTTTCATCTGGTCATAATTTTTGAACCACTTTGTATAATTTTTTCATACTTGGTAGAATTATAACACTCATATTTCTCATCAAAACTTGAAATTCTAGATCAGAATCCAGGTCCGTCTTGAGGAAAAACAGAAAAAAATCTTTTATTTCAAAAACAATACTCTGCATGGCAAAATTTTGTAGATCTGTTTTGGTATTTGAAAAGAGCGGGAAAAAATGAATAGAGTGACCCACTTTTTACGAACGCGCATCCGATTTGACAGATGTTTTATTATTAATTTTGGAAATGTTCATATCCATTTTGAGGCATTTTAATTGAACTCGAAATCAAATTTTGGTACCAAAAAATGACAATCTCCAAACTTATCATAAGGATCAAATCAGGTGAACTATCGATAGATTTGTTTATTTGACCCATTTTATATTACAATATTTATTCATAAGCTGCGGTAAAGAAAGCTGTGCAAAAAATTTCAAAATTCTGACAGTTTCTAATCACGTGTGATATTATTGGTAATGTCATAAGGTATAGATTGAGGTATAATAATTATCACTTTGAAATGTAACAACACAATACAAGCACCAACAATTATCTCAAGGTTACCACTGTGTGATATTACACTAGTGATTATAATAATAATAATAATAATAATAAACGTCTTTATTACTTCTGAATAGAAAATGATATATAAAGTATGGGTGGATAATAATTTTCAGAAGCAAAGGGCGAAGTTCAACTCAGTTTCTAGATGACTCCGTCCACTGAATTGCTCTACCACTTAACCCTCAAATACCTCTACAATTCAACATATAGGAACAACAAAGGAAGAAATTAGAAAAAGTGAAAAAATAGTACATATGGATGATAACATATAATAGGAAGTCTGAATGTTGTTATTGATTTGAATTAAACAGATGTGAAAATATATTCGTTTTGAATTTATGAAACACTGCTGATTTCAATTGATGTGGAATATTATTGTAAATATGGCATATTTGATAACTGAAGCATCTTCGGAAAAGTTCTGTTTTGAAAGGGGGAGGAGACAATACTCCTCTAAACCTAATATTCACATTGTGAACGTCCGTACGGAAAACAATTTTTTTATGGAGATAGGAAGGTTTTTTACTGATGATAATTCTATGAAAGAGGTTAGCGGTCTGATGAAGTCTCCTGTTTTCCATAGTCAGCCAACCAGCATCTTTCATCTTATGAGAGATTCTCTGGCCTCTTCTTATCCCATACATCAATCTCAAGCATGAATTCTGGAGCTTTTGTATCTTATTTTTGTAAAGTTTTGTTAAATGTGGTCCATAGACACAATTGGCATAATTGAAATGTGATAAAACGAGAGTTTCACACATAATAACTTTCAATTTAAAAGGAAGAACATGCCTAACACCATAAATAGTTTTCAGCGAAGAATATGTACGTCGCAAAAGATTATCAACATTCTTTTCAAATCTGAGAGTATGATCAAGGATGACCCCAAGATTTTTAGCTTCCTCTACCAGCTGAATTGGTTCACCATTTATTGATATATTTACGGATTCTAGTACTGCAGATCGTTTGGTTTTTGGTCCAAACAGTAACACATTAGACCTCGCATTAGACTTACGAGAGTTTAACAGTAGACAATGGTCTGTGGCAGTTTTAACAAACTCATTCAGATTTTTATTGATTATTTCACAGGAAACTTCTACACTTTGAGGAGGAAAGCTGTAATAAACTTGGGTATCATCTGCGTAAAAGTGCACTTTACATTCATCCAGATTATTGATGAGATTTGAAGTATAGATTGCAAATAAAATTGGTCCCAAAATTGACCCTTGTGGTACTCCCCGCTGAAGAGGAAGTAGAGATGAGAGCACCTCACCAATTGCAACTCTTTGAGTTCTATTATTGAGGTAATTTCTAACCAATGTTATAGCTGCAGCTGACAGGCCAATGTAATGCAATATGGATATCAACAACTCATGATTTATAGTATCAAAGGCTCTGCTGAAATCGAGTAGTACCAGAGCGGTACAATTCCCGTCATCTGTTGCTCTGACAATATCATCTACAACATGTAGCAGTGCTGTTGCACAACTGAACCCTTTTCTGAATCCAGATTGAACAGATGGTAGCACATTATATTTCTCAGTATGTTCCAGAAGTTGAAACTCGATGGCCCTCTCCAATATTTTAGAAATAGCTGGAAGTATTCTTATGGGGCGCAGATCCTTATACTCGGTCGGGTTTGATTTTTTAGGCAGTACTTTTACAAGAGCGCTACCCCATGATTCTGGAAATACACTTTTTCTTAGACAGAAATTTATAATATATGTGATGTATTCTATAATGAATGGGCAACATAGTTTTATCAAAGAAATATTCAAATTATCATTCCCGGTTGCATTTGTTTTGATTTTACAGATTGATTCATATACAAACAAATCATTAACTTCTCTGAAAAAAAAATTAGAATCAGCCAAGCAATTATTTTTATAGAATTCCATGAGAGTGTCTGGTGGTTTTATGATGGGTCAGAATAATAGAATTTTTTATAAGGCCTACTTTACCGCTGCCTATGAATTAATAGTGGAGAATAAAATGAGCCCTCGAAAATTTCTAAAATCGTAGACCAAGTTTTTCTGTCAAACAAATCTATAGATAGTTCACCTAATTTGACTCTAATGATGTTGAACTTCAAAGACTGTTATTTTTTGCATCAAAATTGGAATTTTAATTACGAGTTCAATAAAAATGCCTCAAAATGGAGCAGAATATTTCCAAAAATAATAATAAAACATCTGTCAAATCGGATGCGCGCTCGTGACAAGTGGGTCACTCTATATTCATTAGTTCCTGCTCTTTTCAATTATCGAAACAGATCTACAAACTTCTGCCATACAGAGTGTTGTTTTTGAAATAAAAGAATTTTTCTTCCTGATCTCGATTTTCATTCAGTTTTGATAAGTAATACGAGTGGTATATTTCTACCAAGTATGAAAAGATTATACAAAGTGGTTCAAAAATTATGACCAGATGAAGATTTTGCCACAATTGAGATAACGTCCTGTATCTCAGGTATAAATGGCGGTAGACATATCAATTATGGGTGATTTGGAACCATCAAAGTGTTCTCTATCTGCAGTTATCGTTGGTACATTTAAATCTGAAACACCCTGTACACAAAGAAATACATTGAGAATTCGCCTCGGAATTCGCATTCTCCATCATGTGATGAAAATATCAATTCTTTCTCGGTTTTATGCAACAGAAAACAAATACTTTCCTGGCTATATATGTTCCTATGCATTTCAATTTTCATTTCAATACTGAACACAATACATCAATTCTTTTCGATTTGAGAGATGATGTCATTTCTCGATTTCAGAGGATTTTGATTTTTCATGCTCTCTTTTTGGATATTCAACAGATATAATTCAATGTTCGACGTGGCAAATAAACAGGAAAGTAGTTGTTTTCTGTTGAATATTCAGAATGATATTATATGCATATCTTTATATGAAGGAGAATGCAAATTCTCTATTTCAGAAGATTTTGTTTTCAAATTCTTATCGTGTGTGTTCAATATAGATGTAATTCAATGTTCGTCGTGGCATATAGCCAGGAAAGTAGTCACTTTCTGTTGAATAAACCGAGAAAGAATTAATATTTTCATCACATGGAGAATGCGAATTCTCAATGTATTTCTTTATATATATATATGTCCATTTTTTTGTGTTCATAAATATATCTGAGAATATTCCTTTTCAATTGTATGATTACCTTGCCTTTATGAACATTTTCAATTTTGAAGGTTGTTTTTGAACGTATTTCTACCTTCCTATATTTAAAGTAGAAATGTAAATACAGGAATTTAATGAGGCTAATTTAAAACGATAATATTCTCATTTAAACATGTTATGTATGTTTTTTTTGAGTAGATTTATTTGCTATTCGAATTCGAACAAACTAGATAAAGTTCACATGATGTTTAAATTGTTATCGGTTTTATTAGTTTTCATCGCAAAAGCATTCGAATAATAATTGTAATTCAGTATCTGAAAACACTCAAAACACTGCGTATCGCTAAACAATGAAAAAAATTAATTGTAACTTAATAGGTCATCTGTGTTTCGTGAAATATAGTGTTAGTGCATATGTAGAGAGTATCTTCTGATTAACGAACATGAAATTTGTAAAATGATTTGAACATGTATATGTATGCATGAAGCATACATATTTCTATAATGAATGAGAAAAAAAACTATTGAAGAAATATAAATAATACTATAGTTATCATTATATACGATAAAAATAGTATGACTTTGCAAAGTATGAATATTTCAAAATATCAACACGAAACACGACAGCAACATTTCGCTGTATTAACTAAAATTGATAGTCGTTAATTGGTGTCTTTCTATTATAATCGACACAGTGAGTGCATTCAAAAATTCCAAAACAATATATAGTGTGGGCAGTTAAAATGCATACTTCGACAGCTTTAGTGAAAAGCGATCCTTTCGATTTCACCACTGAAATTCAAAAAGTATCAGTGTTTCAATTGGGGATCAGAAGGTTCAGTTTGCCTATGCAAAGAGTGCTCAAGAGAAGCAGGAGTCTAAGGATCAAGAAATATACCTGGTAAGATCATGTTACAGCTGTTTTGGGGCAGATTAGATAAACAATAATGACATTAAAAGCAATACCTAGGTAGGTACATATTTTTTCACTAGAATTGTCTATGCAGTGGTTTCATCAATAACAGTGGGCGAAATGATATTTTTATTATCGATAAAATAGTTATCAGGTATATAATATATCGTTGTATTGAAACATCATACCATAAGCATGTCAATAGATCCGGTGACCTTTAGAAATACATTGATCATGATAAATATAACAGTAATGCAAGTATTATTGTTGGCCACCATTAATAACTCAATGACGAAGAATGCTGTGATAATTTCGTAATCAGAAACTTTTTTCGAAAGAACACTATATGTGTCAGATAAGATGTCCACCCTTGTAGATATTGACATTTAACATCTTCATCACTATTCTGTAACAGACTTATAGAAAAGTCTGAAGGACTGAAACAAAATTAATTGATTCAATAGATATTATATGGATGAAGGATATCAACAAATTAGAAGATTAACTAATAGTGGATTATCACCGACGAGTATTGACATAGACTACGTATTGAGCGAGGTATTGAGAACAGAGATATGAGTATTAGCCAACTATTTAGTAACCTACTGCGGTTTGGTGTAATGAAAATGTATTAATTGGTTTTAAATACCACAATCATTATTATCACCACAAGCCCCATCTTCTTCAATTAAAATATAATCATAATGTATACAGGGTACAAACTATTCATTATTGGTCAAAACGGCCCACATGTCCCTATCTCAACTTTTTATTCACTATCTACTGACATTTAATCGGGACAGATACAGGGTGATCAGAATTCTTGAAGCTTGAACCACCCTGTATTTGATCCAATTATATGTCAGTAGATAGTAGATCGAAAGTTATCATAGGGTCATAAAAGCCGTTTTGACTAATAATGGATAGTTTCGACACAAAAAAAATTCTAAAGTTGCAAAAACTCGATTTAGAACTTGAAATCCATCATCTGGTGATATCTTGGAATTTGAACACCCTATAGATATGAAAATAATTCGAGGTGATAGTTCTCATGAAACCTTATAACTGTTCTATTCGAATTTATTCTATATATTTTTTGCGAATATCGAAGGGGGACACACTATTGACTCACCCTGTATATTAATAATGTAACGATGAGAAATATTTCCTGAATTCACCATAAATAATTCATAAATGTTTATATCCGGTTGCACAGGTCACTTCCTGTAATTCGCAGATGCTTTTTTGACATCTGGCAACTAGCTGCTCCACTCACAAAGGCATGACGTCAATAAGGGTCAAATTTTCGATCATTTGAATGTGGCTGTTCATTTTTGATTTCAAGGCCTTATGAAGACACAACCCTATTAAATAGTATGTTGTGTCACAAGGGCAGAAAATGAGCTTCAGCAGCCCGCGGCTATTAGCTGCAGGAGCAAGCGTTTTCTGCATGTGTGACACACAACTACTGTCTTTCGCCAACCAGAAACATAATTCAAAGGAATAAGGACGGAATGCTCTAAATTCTAACTCATCTCCACAAATTTTAATGGTGTTGTGTTACACAATCATAAGGGACATGTTTCGGTCTTATGAAAGACCATCTTCCGCCTAATTGAAAGTTTCGGAGTTGAAAAAATGTGATGTTACTAATTCTAGAATTGTTGTAAACGCCAATCAAAATCGAGTTTATAAATGAAAAACGGGTTCTCAATAAGTAAAGGGCCCCGTGCCCTGAGAGCGCATACCATTCATCTCATTGAAATTAAACAACAGTTCAGAATTTCCATTTCTTCCCAGGAAACTAAGAACTCACGATGAGTCAGGCCAACGCTGTCAATGAAGATCTTGCGAACATTTCAGACTGGGCGCCACCAAAACTAAAGCCTGAAAGGAGCAACTCAGTATGCCTGGTACCACCATTTCCATCAAGATCACTATATCGATGCTTGGTATTACCATCAGCGATACTGTCTCATGGAAAAATCATGTCCGTTCCATCGAAAGAGCTGCTTTAAAAAAAAACGGATACAAAGCTCAGATACGACAAGTTTTAGAATATTGTTCTTATGTATGGGGTTCAGCACCCAAACAATAAACGCTGATGCTTTTCGAGTCCATTCAGAGAAGAGCCATTCGCCTGGTGGGTGATGCTACACTCACTAACTCCTTGACCTCATCAGAACATGGTAGAAAAGTCGGCGAACTTTCATTTTACTATAGATACTCCCACGGAAAATGTTCTTCAGAAATCTCTGCTATAATTCCATCACTAGCAATACCAGTCAGAGGAACTCAACAGGCCCAGCAGTCAGTGCATTCTTTCGCCGTCAACCTTGAAATATGTCGAACAACACTCTAATAAAACTCGTTCGTCTATAGAATGGGCGAAGCTTTGGAATTATTTGCCAATCGAAGTATTCCCAAGAACATATAACCTCCAAAAGTTCAAGAAATTTCAACATCTACCTCCTTTCCCTATCCTCCCTAGATGAAAAATAAAACATCATGTCAGATCGATCGCGATTGCTGTCTCACTGAAACTGCTTTTTTAATCCTAGCATAAAGCTACAGATCTCTCTATGTGACTATGTAGATGTAGGTTCGTCTGATGATACTATAATAGTGGTCAATTCCTGATGTGTACCACAAGGATCCTCTTTGGCACCAGCAGTGTTCCTACTCCAAATCATAATTACCCCTGTCTACAGCTTAGCGGATGATAGTAAATTGAAATGAGGGCCACTTTATACAAAAATTTAAGACTTAAGATGCATCACCTAGCATTTAAGGCTTATCACGTCACGTATGACAGATGGAACATGGACATATGCTCGGAAATATTTATGTTATAGAACTATTTTTTCCACCACTAGCTGTAGAACCTCAAAAATCAAATCAAATCAAAATATACTTTATTATCGGAAGATTTTCATCTCATTGATAAAGTCATGATGACCTACCATTATTTACTCCTATTCGCGGCGTGAAGTGTGTCTTTAGTATCAAGGTAGTTTTCGTCATTTTATGAACCACTAGTCAATAATGACATAGCTACCTCTGTTATAATAATTACTGTTTTAATGCGATATCCGCAGAGATGGGACTCAGATCTAGTAGGTACGCATTTATCAATAACGACTTGACAAATGCTGTCATAGTCATCGCTTTCATTTTGATTAGAATTTAAGGAAAGTGCATTCATAGTGACAATAGGTCCCTATTTCAGTTTCACAGAACGATAATAATTGAAATATATTGCGTGTCGCTGAATGCTTCGGGATATATTCTTGGTCTCTGGGTAATAAAATGATATTCTTTACTATCTTGGTGTATAAATAACTAAAAGACTTATGATTTTACTAATCTCTGGTAGACAGTCAACTGTCGTGTAGATGATTTTGAGTTTTATTCAGTTATTATGACTTTACATTTAGGATTTAAGAAGATGGCCAACTTCCAACTTAAGAAGCGCTGTTAAATGATCATAAATGGAATAAGGAGTGCGCATCCAAAAGTGACATCCCAATTTCCCGCCCTTGAAAAAAATATCCAAAATATCTTGGGTTGTTAATTGAATGATATCAGAATATGAAATTTTGATTTCCAACCAGTTTCTTACATATTGAACTTTGGAAATCTGGTTCTGTATCAGAAACTAGATGTCAGTAATGACAGAACACGCATGTAGCGCCCTAGAATCTTAATTTTTTCATAACTGAATACACTTGAGACTCTTAAAACTTAAATGTTTGAATGTTGAATCTTAAATGCTGATAGTTTTTATGAAGTCATTCTGAAACGTAGATAATGCCTGGTGCAACCATTCCTAACAACTCTCTACCAAAACTCGATTCTTCTAAAACTGCGAATGTTTGGAATGATTTGCCTAGAGAAGTATATTCCCAGGAACCTAGGACCCCTTAGATGAAAAATCATCTCTACCTTGCTACTTTATGCACGAGCGCTGTTCCACCATAGTAGAGATTCCTATTCGCACCACACAGAAGAAAGGAGAGAAAAATATCAAATTTTTCAGTTTCTAACAGCAAAAAATAATTATGGTGAAATCTTTGATTCATATTTTACGAATCATATTCAGGACAGACAAGAATCTACTGAATACTGAATATTTCGATGAAGGCGACAGTCACAACAAAATTCCAGTGATTCGGATTCATAGTAGCCAAAAAAAACATCCTAGGCAGCCAATAATAACAGTTGAACATAGGTTACGCTCCCATTCAAGCAATTTCGGTTTTCGGATTTCGTTCAGTGCAGAGTTATTTTGGAAAAACTTTCAAGTTGAGAATTTAGGTTATAGTTGAAAAAATTATGTTGTTACACATCGACGATTTGCTTTTCAGGATCTCATGGAAAATTCCACATATCAAATGGTGAGTTGAGTGAAAATTTATCAAGACTTTCCCTATTATCCTTCATTTTATTCTATCTTTTTTTGCCATGCAGATGGCCGCATGTCCATTTTTTTTTCTAGGATCACTTTCAATGTTCTCAAAGCTCTGAGAGAATTTGAATATTTCCCCATAATGCCCAAATTATTCCGAAAAAGTATTATTTCAAAATAGCTTCAGAACTGCTTCAGATATATGACGTTAATTTCACTTTTTACTTCTTACGGATGTAAATTAGTCTGATTAAATAATTTGAAGACCATGGAAGGTATAGAGGGAGATAATACCTATATTATATCATTATATCTTCAATGTATACATGTATAGCAATGAATGAATTCCTATTCTAACAATTTTGTGTGCAAAGATATTAAATTATGTAACGTTTTAATAACTGTGTATCGGTTGTTTAATCATTAATCATTTACATCAAACAGTGGCGTGGATATATACTCATGATGAGCTGTGAAATGAAATTCGAATTTACCTAAAGAGCAATAAGCAATGAAATGAAAACAATGAAACTCTTTGATTCCATTAAATTTGGAAATGCTCAATATTTATTCGAAATTG